GTGGCTGGAAAGGTGTAGAAAAAAAGAAAACCAAAAAAGAGGCAAAAGTGACTACAGTTGCCCTCTCACCTGAAGCCACTAACGAAACGGAAGCATCTGTAACAGTGGTCTTCAGGGTATTGGACATTAGACAGCAAGTGGCAATGGAGCTGATAGATACAGGTGAGGTCAGGCTGCTCATCCACCAAGAAGTTTACAGGCAGTGTCATGGGAACCAGCCCATGCTAAGCCCATAGTGGAGATGCCAGTGGAGCTGGAACTGGAGAGCAAGAGCATCCCTGAGCCATGGATAGTCTCAGGTCACAACTGGAAGGAGGGTTTGCCTGCTGGAGTATGGATGATCCTATAGCAGCAGCTCTGGAGCCTTTACCCAGACAGATGATGGCATCCCTGTGTCCACGTATCAGTGCTCCCACTTATTTCTAACCTTCCCCAGCCGGATCCTATAGCATCTCCCCAGATCAAGAAGCGCAATTCGGGCAAAAAATAACCTTAATTAGCTATGCTGTGGATAATATTCAAGTTGTTCAACTGTCCTTTCAAGCCTTCACCTTTTAAATATCTGTATCAGCCTTGTGGAGAATTTTTCTCTCTAACAAAAAGTGTTAAACAAATCTTGAATATGTTTGTTTTTGTTTCCTGTTCTCATCAACAATATTTAAAGGAACCATGACTCATTGTGAATAGCACACACACACACACACACACACACACATGTACAGACTACAAGATAGTGAATAAAATGCTCTTAGGTAGGTATTTTTGATGCATTTCTGGTTCAAAAATTATCACAGTCTGCCTTGTTTTCAGTCTTTTATCCACACCGTAATTAGGAATCCTATCTTGTTTATTACCCAAAAGACATTTTACTCCATTTACATGAACTTAGAATCTGTAGTCCTAATTCAATTAGCTCAAGACCAGTAGAGGTAAACCTGTAACAAATCTACTTTATTGACTCATACTAATGAGAAAAAATGACCACCAGAGAAATCACAGGATGTCTCCAGAAGCAAAGGAAAAGGCATGTTTGCAGAGTCTTCAGGAAGTATAAACGTAGGTGACATTCACAATAGTTGCAGGGTTGTGGGTAATGAATGGTGTTGTTTAGCAGCTTCCTTTGGGTTGAAATATTGGGGGCAGGGAGCACTTTAATAGGCTCAGGAGGTAAACAAAAGGTCAGCATCTGGGAGAACAGAAGAGAGAAGTGCTCTGCAGGACCCCTCCCTAGCCATAGAAACAGTAGTAAACAGGCTGAGGTGGGAAACTCTGAGCGGCCCAATGGCAGGAGAAGAAACAGCTGCCAGCTGGGCAAAGATCTCCAGAACTGCAGCTTTCATGACTCATCACCCATGGTGGGGTGGGCTTTTCAGTGATGTGATGCAGCGATTTTTTAGTTGTGCCTTCTCCTTGAGTAACCCTCACTCATATTGTTAGCAACCCCCCAAAAAAAAATTTTTTTTTTTTGTAGGACACTGGTACAATTGATTCTATAGTCTGCCATGGATTCTCCTCCTGGGTTAGACAGGTTATGTATGTCTCCAGGAAATATCTGTCACACAAGTTCTACCTAATTATGACAGATGTGGAATGTTGTATTCAGGGGCTCCTTAAATAAAGCCTTTGTGCCTCTATTGGAAATTGATGGTTTTCCTCTGTACCAAAGTGACTTAGATGCTCCATGTAAAGAATAAAGTGTCCCATGCTTACTGATGTGACTTAAGCATCAAATTCTCTTAACTGCGTGTAACTGTAAAAAGTTATCCAATGTGTGAGAAGATACCCGAACACAGTCATTAGCACACTGGCCAGTTTCAGCCTATCCTGGGCAGAGAACCCTTTTCTTAACCTTGTGGCTATCTTTATTTGTATTTATTATACCAACCAAATTAGTTTAAGTAGAAACTTACAATCTGAGTCTGAGTTATATTTTACTTTCCCGTTCTGCATTATTTGAAGAGTTAGTGGGAATACTCATTTAGTGTATTTTACATATGCCTAGCTTTACTTACACCTCAGTAAGAAGCATCATTCTTTAACACATGAAGCATAAATTCACATTTATTAATGGCTATTAAAGGCATCAAACAGTTATTAATCTCACCATTTAAGATGCTAATGATATTCCTGATCATCACTAGTATACAGGAATTTTAATCCAGGGACATGGCTGCTCTGGCAAGGGATCACAAATGTGATCCCACTGGAATGCAAACATACATTGAATTACAACATGATCTGGCTGGAATACAGACACGCCCTTAGTACACACTTGAATCCTAAACAATGAAGATAAGGTTAGTTAATAAAAGGAAGCAGCTATGTTTGAAAGTGACATCTTGTTGAGAGGGAGACAAAGTGAGGAATCAGAGAAAGATTTGACAGAATGAGTCAGAGATAGGATACACCCAATTCTCAGGAGAACAGGACAGAAAAGAGAGGCCATTTAAGAGCAGCACAGGGAAAGACTGAGTTTTTTACTGAGATTTTCTTTTTGACCAGGACAATTTTACAGAGGCAAGTTGCAGCGAGAACAAGCTAGACAGGTGAAGACAGAAGGAGCCAGAAGATTAAAACATATTACCAGAATTAGTTTGAGGCCAAGCAGAGCAATTCAGTCAGAAGTCAAGAGAAGCCAATTTCAGTCAGTTAGCTTGGGGAGGAGTATGGACCAGAACAGCTGAGTTGAACTGGCCAGCCAGAATTTAGAGGGAGCTAGAAAGGCTTGGGAATGACTCTCGTCTCATCCCCACATCTGAGGAAAGAAAAACAACATTTACAACTAGTGAAATGCAGCATTTTTCTTAATCCTGCTTATTTCTATTTCTGTTCAAGCATAAGTCATTGTGAAATCTAAAAAAGGAAGCTCAGCATGTACATACTATCAGTGGATATTACATCCACTATGAATATTATATTATAAAAGAACTATATAATTTATATTCATTGACAATAAAGTATGAACTTAAATAAAAAAGCGTGTAGAAAATGAATAGCCAAACAGTTAAGGAGCTATTAAGTTCAAATATAGTGTTTAATAACTTGGTAAATATTATAATGTTTAAATTATAGTATGTAGTTGACTATAAAGAATATATATACAAAGGTTGGAAAGATGGCTCAGTGCTAAAAGGCACTTGCTACACACACTTGGCAGCCTGAATTTGATTCCCAGAACCTACATAAAACATAAAAGGCATAACCAACTCCATAAACATTCTCCTCTTGACTCCACCACTGGGAAACAAAGTCAGATCATCTACAAGAGCAGTGCTAGTTCATAAATGCTGAACCATCCCTCCACCTCAGCCCCAGGTGAGGTTTTGATACTAAAAGTTTGGTTTTTCACATTCTATTTGGTATTTTTATTCATTAGTCCATTCTAACCCCAGTTCTAAGATAATGGTGGTTTGTGCTTATGAATTTTTTAATTTAAATTTATTTTTATGTGCTTATGAATTTTGATGAAGGCTAACTGAAAATAACAAAAATCACAATCCTGAATTCCTAAAGCTTAGTAAATTCTATAATGACCCAATCCTATCCTAGCCGCCATGCCTTATCTTAACAACCAGCCTCTCATTAACATTAAACTTCAGATATGAAAATATAACAAGATATGTTTAAAGTGCACATTTATATAGTGCTTATGAAAAATGGATTTCAAGATATATTCATCTTTAAATAACATTTAACTCAACCAGAAAACAAATTACAATTTTGTTGTTTTTCCTTTGGAAGATTGATCTGTTGAGTGTTCACAGAACCTAGGCTCTCTCTCATTGCGCCAGTTGTTACCTCATGCCTAGCATTTACATCCTTAATGAGAGGATTAAGAGACTCATGTTGTCTTTTCAGTAGCTCCGGTTAGATACACAGTGTTGTCAAAGAACCAGTGTTGGGAAAACGTCTAACTTTGTCCAAAAAAAAAAAAAAAGTGTTGACTTTTGATCTTCAGAGGCAACATGACAGGAACCTCACCTCTGTGGGCTATACAGGAAATGTAGTTCAAGGGAACATTTACCTTTCACTGTTCCCTTGAACAAGCCAAATGGAGCATGACTGGTGACCATCACCTACAGCCCTCCATCTCAGAGCATGCTGATGACCAGAAGCACAAATCAGAGAGACCAGCACCAAAGACTAAGACTAAGACAGGTTTTTATGTTACTCGTTTGGGCACATGTTTGCTGTATTTCCAAGGGCAATCTTAAATTTGTCATCTTCCTGCCTCCACTGTCCAAATGCCAAGGTTATGCCTGTGTGCCACCAAGCACACTGTTGGGGACTGAACTCAAGGCATCGAGCATGCTGGAGAGGCAGTCTACCAACTGAGCCATATCCCAACACCGTCCAAAATCAAAAGAGAAAAAAAAGAAAATCACATGTGCAGAAAATGATGTACTGAACATGAATGCCCCCCTCAACACACACACACACTCCTAGTTGTTCCGCTGGCTCCTATCACCTAGAAACTCTCTTCTTCATTTGTACGTAAGAGTTCTATAACCTCTAAAAGGTAAGAACTCACAGGAGCCCAAAACACAGCTGCTTATGGGCCAAATAAAGCCAAGGAATACGAAGTGGGAATATGCAGCCGGCTCTGGGTTAGACAACAAAAATGCCTAAAAGGATCACCCTGGAATGCCAGCCAGTGTTACCAATTATTCTGATTTTTATCTCAAGAAGCCTGAAATTCAGATATAAATCTCAAATCTCCAGGTCTTAAAAGGCATAATGTGGATATTGAATTTAATTGTTCCAGATAGTAAGGCTCATTACATAGAAATCTGTGTCAGCACTGGATACCTAATGAAGCAGAAAGTACTGTGTTTTAGAATAAGTGTTAATGCTTAGCATTTTGTAGGATTTTAAAGTGGTCTCTATCTCAGCGGTAATCATCTTAGGCTGTTATGTAATTGGCATAACTTCAAAATTAATGCTGCCAAACTTGTTCTAAAAGATAAAACAAATAAATGGACAATGTTTTACTTGTCAATTTTAATACAAAAAGAAATGTGCTGCAGAGATTGCTTCTAGATTTTCCCAGCAGTCAGGCAGGATGTGGGGCTTAATATACCTGTCCAGGACTTTGAACTCTTTTTCCACACTGGATGGAGCAGCTTCTCCGTTCCCTTGGCTAGGTTTCATCCACTGGTCTGGTTAAGTTCACCTTCACCCCGTAGGTTGTTTTGCTCTCTCCCCCACGCAGACCAGCTATGAAAATCTGGGGCCGGGGCACTCGAGAGCTGTTTTCTTTCATGGTCTGGGTGCCAACAGTCTTTGGAGGGTACACCTGTGAGGAACTTTCTCTTCTCATGTGGCTTAGGTCAGTTTGTACAGAGTGAGTCATTTTCTGGCGCAAATTAGCCTAGATAGAAAGGGGAAATAGGGATTAATATTTCTCTAAAAAGTGAAGCATTTAGTTGATATTTGCCTGTTATTTTCCCATTCCACAGATGAACTGCATTTTCGTGGTGGCAATGATTACGGTGAGTTTGAGGATGTGTGTGATAGGACTGCAGAAGTGTTCATGGGAAAGTCAGGGGAACCTAGTGTTGATCCTCTTCTTCTATGGTAGTTTCTGGGGGCTGGATTAACAGTTTTCATGGCAACTTTTTGAATTATCTTGCTGAACCAAGCATCTCATTTTTCTATAAAACATTGGAACACTAAAAAATCAAGAACAGGATAAGAAATGAAGAATCTTTATGAGCCAGGCATAGTGGCACATGCCTGTAATTCCAGCACTCAGGAAGGCAGAGGCAGGTGGATCACTGTGAGTTCGAAGCCAGCCCAGTCTACAGAGATAGTCCAGGACAGCTGGGGCTACACAGAGAAACCCTGTCTCATTAAAAAAATAATCATAGAACTTGTGCTTTTAAAACCATACTTCTTTTGGCTTGTAAATGAAAATTTCAAGATATATAGTGTATTTTTAAAATGAACTTCACCCTATGCTGCTAATATAAAAATGTTTTCTGCGTACACATTTTTCATTTTGCTTATTTCTTTATGGTAACTAGTAAACATGAGTTTAAATAGGTTTCAGAGACTAGTAACCATGAAGGGTAAGGACTAGCTGGTATAACTTAGCAATCGGGGCGTTGACTAGCACATGGAAAGTTCTGATTTGACCCTCAGGCCCACAAGGAAAGGGGTGGAGGATAAGAAATAAGAAGATTTTGGAAAAGGGTAAGAAAAAGTATCAGTGGGTACTAGAGCATATAAAGTAAAGGAAGACAGGCCTAAATATTTCAGAGTTTGGACCATCCAGAATCCAAATCTCCAGTCGAAGCCCAGCAAGTGGGGGAATTCTACGAAGCTGGGCATGGATGAGAGAGTAAAAGGGTAGGCACCTGTTATGATTAAAGTGACTTAGAATCCTCAGGATGAGACAGCACAGTGTCTAATAGAAGGTCTAACAGTGTCTAACATAGCACTCTACATTTGGATACATACCCACCACTAAGGAGGCTGAGGTTAAGGCAGGGGCATGTTGAATTCCAGGCCAGCCTGGGCTACGTAGTAAAAACCTATCCTAAAGGCAGCAGGGATGCCACAGTATCTGTGGTTTGACAGAAGAGGTTTTAAAAAGAAAAGGAAATAGGGTGCTGTTGGTTTTGTTTTGTGGCACAGTGGTTTAACTTGAGGCTGCTGGCAAGTGCTCTACCACTAAGGCTATGTGTATAGCCTTTAATACACAACCACCCACACCCACCCACCACACACACAAGATATCTTTGACACAGACTCTTGCTGAGTTTTTAGGCTACCCATGAACTCATCCTTTAACCTAGGCAGGCCTCAGACTTCCAAGTAGCTGAAAGAACATGCTTGTATGACCAGAGCTGGAGAAAAGGTATTATTTTTTTATTTAAGATTTATTCCGCTTTTTGTTTATGTTCATTTATTATTTTATTATTATGCATCATCTGTGTTCATGTGTTTGAGGGCTTGTAGAGGCCAGAAGAGAGTGCCAGGTGCCTGGATTTGGTAACCTGAGCTGCCCATAGTGTGCCTGAACCTAAGACACCTGCAGGAATGGTAAGTGCTCTTAACCACTTAGCCATCTCTCCAGCTCGGAAGATGACTTTAAGCCTGTGAAATAAATAATAGTCATTGTTCAGGAACTGGATGGTGTTCCTAAAGAGTCGGTTCATGCTTCCATATTTCTATACAGGTTTAAAATCAGAAGATACTTTATAATATATGAAGCCAGTAACTTATACATTATGCTAATTACTTTCATGTGAACTTATTACTTTTATATAAACAATTTAACTTACCAACTCTATGGTAACAATATCAAAATTCCTCAATTACGAAAAATTTAGAAAATGCTGTTACACACCAGTTTTATAGCTTTTCTTCTTAATTCCCATTCATTCCACTCATATGACCTCATGACATTTGGTGGCAATAGGTGCGTATCTGTCTGTGTGCTAGTTTCACACTTTGTAATGGGTTTTATGAAATGCTTGTCAATATCTCTCATCTAAAGAAATGAAAGTTTGTAATTAGCACTTGTAAAGAATAAACATTATATGCAAGATAACAAAAATTATGTAGCTAAAACTGCCAAAAGACTAGCAAAATATTGTTGGAACATAGAATATGATTGTAAATGTCAGCAAAGAAAGGCTTGCAATCAGCAAGCAAAATGCAGTTGTATCCTGCCTTTATGCATGACTTTGTGAACTTACTGTGGGAGGGGTACTTTGGAAGGGAAAAGCACAGCCGAACTTTGGGCAGAGTGCAGGGAGTCTTATGGAAGAAGAGGGGGGTGGGGATAGGGGGACATGGAGGGGACAGGAGCCCCACAAGGAGACCAACAAAGCTAAAGGATCTGAGCCCAGTGAGTCTTGCAGAGACTGATTCACCAACCAAGGACCATGCATGGAGAGGACCTAGACACTTTGCTCAGATGTGGCAAATTGGCAGCTGAGTATCCATGTGGGTTCCTGAGTAAGGGAAGCAGGGTCTGCCTCTGTTATGAACTCGGTTGCCTGCCCTTTGATCACTTGTCCCTGGTGATGAAGCCTTGCCAGACCACAGAGGAAGAGGATCCAGGCAGTCCTGATGAGACTTAACAAGGTAGGGGCAGATGGCAAAGGAGAACTCCCCCTTTCAGCGGACTAGGCGAAGGAGATGGGGGGAAGACAGAGGAGGGTGAAACTTGGGGGAGTTGAGGGAGGGGGCTTCAATAGGGATATATAAAGAATAAGTTGTGAAAAAATTAAAATTAAATTTAAAAATAGCATCAAAAAAAGGAAAGAAAAGATGTGGGCAGGTAAGACAAACTTGGGGACAGGACATTAAGTTATTGTTTTCTGACACTGAGAAGTCATGGCTAGAATTAGCAGTAAAAGGATAAAACAAACAAACAAACAAAAAAACCCAAACAACTGTATATCTTGAATGCCAGGCCAAGATTAAACAAACCAAAGATTTTAAAACTCAGAGTAAAATGGTAAATGACATTTTTCTAATTCCTCTGAAAGTATTTATTAAAGTTTTCTTCTCAAAAGTTTTTGAATAATTGATTCCTGCCATATTTTTCTAAATTAGAAATTTGTATAATATATCTCATTAAGCACAAGTTTACATGCGTTAAACTTAAGATAACAATTTTCATAATATTCACCACAAAGACCCACTATCCAGGGAATCTACAACTCAAAATTTTAAGGCCGTTGACTTGAGAAAACAAATTTAACAGAATTTCAAGAATGAACATACCAGTTTGGGGCCACAAACAGCTCTAAGGATTTTTATGCTAGTACTCTTATTATAATTCCAAACGTAAACATAATTACATTATAAATTATATATGTACATGAGGACATATATTTGCACACTTTAAATTTTTATTTTTAGTTGTGAGTGCTGTGTGTGGGCATGTGCGCGTGCGGGCAGCACGCCTCATTCAGCACTACATAACTGCAGTGCCCGAGGAGGCTGGGAGAGGGCACTGGATCTCTGCAAACTGGAGCTGCCACATACGGGAGCTGCCAGACAAACTCAAGCTGTCTGAAGGAGCAAGCAGCAAGTGTTCTGAACTGCCGAGCTTTTTCTCTGTCGTGCCGGTACACCTGTTTTATATCTTAACGACTCATATCTATATTTGTAAGACAGAAAAGTACATTTTAAAATGTCACATGAGAACTCAAGTACAAAATAGATGCAAATAAAAAATTGTTTGGAATTAAAAGTAAACATTGTCCTACATGAGCAAGCTCACAGCTTTAAGCTAAATACAGATGCTAAAGTAGAAAATACTTAGAACTGTGTTTAAAGCATGTGAGCTACAGCTTAATCCGTGCAACAGTTAATACATTTCCAAAGCACAAATTAATGAGATAAGCTGTTATTGAAGAAAGCCGGGAAGCAAGTAGAGGAAAATAAAGTACAGGAACGGAAGTGATATAAAGATTGCAGCATGAAATGAGAAATGGATGCAGATGTGAAACAGGACTGACAAATCCAATCATTGATTCTCTAAGGAAAGACAGAGAAAACACTCTAATGGAAGTAAAATGAGAATAAAATAAGACAAGCCCCTGGCGAGATGACTCAAATTACAGAAAGGCTAAAGTAAGTAATATGGAATTAAAAAGCAGCATCCTAGGAAGGGAAGGCAAGAGGATGAGGGTTCAAAGCAAACATAGGCTACCTGAGACCCTGTGTCAAAACACACATGCACAAAGGGAAACAGAAAAGACTGGAAGTGTTGGCAGGAATCTTTAATCCCAGCACTTGGGAAATAGAGGCAGGCGGGGCTGATCTCTGTGAGTTCAAGGCCAGCCTGCTTTATATTGCAAGTTCCAGTGAAGGCAGGTGGATCTTTGTGAGTTCGAGCCCAGCCTGGTCTACAAAGTGAGTCAAGGCTACAGAGAAACCCTGTCTTTAAAAACAAAACAAAACAAAACAAAACAATCCACTCTTTGCTCATTAGGGAAAAAGGTATTAGCAGATTGGTATCTTACACTCTATGTATTTTGTAACAGTATGATATGGCTAAGAATAAAGACCACTCTGTTTCCTGAGTAAGCTGAGTCCTTTGCTGGTCTTCAAGTCCATGATCTCCTTGACCCCGATATTTTACAGAGAAAGGACTAGGTATGGGTAATTAATAAATACGAAAATGCAAAAAGAGAATATGCATAGGTAATTGCTATGCTTAGCTTTAATTGTGAACGTAGAACAGTGCAGAATCATCCAGGAATGAAGTCTTGAGGCTTTGCTAGATCAGGTTAGCCTGTGAGCATGTCCATGGAGAATAATCTTGACTAGGTTAATTGAAGCAGAAAGACACACACACACACACACACACACACACACACACACACACACACACA